GTGGATAAACGTATGTCAAGCGTATGCGGAACGCAGCTGAAACGAATGCAGGTATAGGAAAAAATGTGAAACGTAAACGAGCCGAACATGATACGTGAACGCAACGTATGTGAACAACAACTGGGATGGAACAATGTATGAAACGTAGGTGTACGGAGCTATGTAAGAAACGAGCTGAACACGATTATTGCGTGAAACGTATGTGAAAAGCAACGTATGTCTGTAATATATGTGTGTGGAACGTATGAAACCCGAAATGTCATGTTGAGATCTCCGCTCCGAAATCGCCCGCATAGCTTCCAAGAGGCTCACGCGGCGCCCCCAATTGACCCATAGAGGATCCGAAGAGGCCCCTGGGAGGGCCGAACAGGCCCCGAAGAGTCCTGGAAGAGGCCCTGCAGGGCATCCCTACAGATCCTGGTATCCACCCACAACGCCTCAGCTCACCCACAGCCCGGGTACGGTGGCGGAGTGGGCCGAAGGCCATTCGATAGTTGTGGCCCCCGTAAGATCCTCCACCCTCCTACTCCTCCTCCTCCTCCTCCTCCTCCTCCTCCTCCTCTTCCACGTCCTCCTTCCAGTCCTCCATCTTTCTCCACTCATGCCCCCGAGACCGCCATCGGCCACGACCAAGAGAGCTCCCTAAGAACTGTGGACAAAAAGACGCCACATATGGCAGCCGGTCTCGCCTTCCTCCTCCTCATTCTCCTCCTCCTCCTCCTCCTCCTTCTCGTCATCAACATCATCACCATCACTATCACTATCGCCATCACCATCACTACCGTCAGCGTCCGCAGCCTCATCCTCCTCCTCCTCCTCCTCCTCATCATTATCATCAGCGCCGTCATCATCTCCCCCTTCGTCCTCCCCTCACTCCTCATCGATATTCCTCATCCGAGGCTCCTCCTCATCCTCCTCTTTGTTGCGTTAGGTCCGCCACGAATGACGACAACGAGTGAAGATGCGACCGACACATAAACTGAGAGGCCTCCAAAACTGCTCAGGACGGCCCAAGAAGGCCCCCTAGACTGCCCAGGACAAGCCAGACTGCCAACAGAGCCTCAACACGGCCAAGCAAACCCAAGCATCAGCATCATCATCATCATCATCAACAACAACATCATCATCATCATCATCATCATCATCATCATCATCATCATCATCATCAGCATCATCATCATCATCATCATCGTAATCAGCATCATCACCGTCGTCATCATCATCCTCACAATCAACATCATCACCATCACCGTAACCGTCATCATCAGCGTCACCATCATTCCTCATCATTCCTCATCCTCATCAGCATCAGTAGCAGTATCATCCTCATAAGCATCGACATCATTATCACCAACACCATAACCATTCCTCATCGTCACCACTCCTTATCTCATCATATCAGTTTCACCACTACCACCATCATCGTCACGGTCATAATCCTCATCATCATCGTCACCATCATCAGCATCAGCATCAGCATCAGCATCAGCATCAGCATCAGCATCATCATCATCATCATCATCATCATCATCATCATTCTGATCATCAACAGCATCATAACGATGATCATTATCATCATGCTCAACATCATCGTCATCATCATCACCAAATTCAGCGTCGTCGCCATCGTCGCCATCAGCATCATCCCCATCACCATCACCATCACTATCACTACCGCCGCCAGAATCCCTACCTTACCATCAGCATCCTCATCACCATCATCATCATCATCATCCTCTTCATGCTCATCCTCTTCCACCTCCTCCTCCTCCTCTTCATCATCATCAGCATCATCAGCATCATCCCCCCCTTCGTCCTCCACTCATTCCTCCCCATCCCAGGCTCCTCTTCATCCTCCTAATCCTTGCGTTAGGTTCGCCACGAATGACGACGATGAGTGAAGATGCGAGCAACCCATAAACTGGGAGGCCTCCGAAACTGCTCAGGACGGCCCAAGAGGGCCCCCTAGACGGCCCAGGACAAGCCAGACTGCCAACAGGGCCCCAAACTACTAAGCAAACCCAATACTCATCATCATCGTCATCATCATCGCCGTCATCATCATCAGCATCAGCATCATCATCATCATCATCATCATCATCATCATCATCATCATCACCATCATCATCACTACCACAATCATCATCACAATCACCATCTTTGCCATCACCCTCATCATCAGCATCATCAGCATCATTCTTCATTACTCATCATCATCATCATCATCATCATCATCATCATCCCCATCAGCATTACCATCATCATCAGCAGCATCAGCATCGGTATCATCATCAACATAACCATATATCATCGTCACCACTCCTTATCATCATCAGTATCACCACCATCATCAGCATCATCACGGTCGTTAACCTCACCATCATCGTCGCCATCATCATCATCATAATCATCATCATCAGCATTATAATCATCATCAGCATCATGAGAATGATCATCATCATCATGATCAACATTGTCATCATCGTCATCATGAACACCATCACCATCACCACCATCAGCATCGTCGCCATCGTCGCCATCAACATCATCCCCATCATCACCACCATCACTATCACTATCGCCACCACCATCACTACCGTCAGCGTCCTCAGCACCATCATCATGATCAACATCCTCCTCATGCTCATCCTCCTCCCACGTTTTGTTTGTCGGGCAATCAGCATCAGCATAAAGCCTCAATCATCAATCATCTCATCATACTATCATCATAATATCATCCTCTCATCCTCATCTATCTTATCGTCATCATCATCATCATCATCATCATCATCATCATCATCATCATCATCATCATCATCATCATCATCATCATCATCATCATCTTCCTCATCATCATCATCATCATCATCATCATCATCATCATCATCATCATCATCATCATCATCATCATCATCATCATCATCATCATCATCATCCCCCCCTTCGTCCTCCCCTCATTCCTCCTCATCCCAGGCTCCTCCTCATCCTCCTCCTTGCGTGAGGTCCGCCACGAATGACGACGACGAGTGAATATGCGAGCAACCCATAAACTGGGAGGCCTCCGAAACTGCCCAGGAGGGCCCCAGAGGGCCCCGTAGACGGCCCAGGACAAGCCAGAAGGCCAAGGAGCGCCGTAAGAGCTGCTAAGGAGCGCTTGAAAAGCTGCTAGGGTGCGCCTGAAAACCTGCCCAGGAGCGTCTTACAGGCTGCCAAGGAGCATCGTAATAACTGCTAAGGGGCGCCTGGCGCCTTGAGAATTAGCCGGGAGCGCCGTAAAAGCTGCTGAGGAACGCCTCAAAAACTGCTAAGGATCGCCGCCCTGAAACCTGCTAAAGAACGCCGTAAAAATCTACGACGGAACGCCGTAACAACTGCTGAGGAGCGCCGTAAAAGCTGCTGAGGAAAGCCGGAAAAACTGCTAAAGAGCGCAGCAAAACATGCTAAGGAACGCCGTCAAAATTGCCAAGGAGCGCCTCAAACGCTGCCAAGGAGCGCCGGAGAAAAGGTTGTAAAGCTTCGAAGAGTTCAGGGTCTTCTGAACCTACAACCGAGGAGTGGACCAGTTCACTGGGGAATGGACCAGCTTACAGGGGAAACATTTTCTCTCGAGGAAAGAGCCTGTGCGGCGCGGCGTACACTGCTGCTGCATGCACATGAGAATAAATGAGAACGCATGTATCAAGCAAATGTTGCTCCAGGCTGGGAGAGAGTCAAGGAACCCGATCGGAAGTGCCAATCCCGGCTCCTAGAAGAGACTGTCCGAGGAGAACATCACGGGAGTTTGACTTACATCTCCCCGACCCGCAGGAGGCTGAGCCCCTCTGGAAGGCCGACGACCCTGTCGTACAACCCCTGCCACTCCCTGCCGTCCCTTTCCCATCCTCGGCCCCCTGCTCCTCCCCAACGACGGAATGCCGCTGCGGTCCGCCTGACCACCCTCAGCATGAAAGAAACGTTATCCAACCGCCCGGGACCCTGGGGACATCGCCCTGGGACCAACTCCTCATCCTGACTTGTATTCCAATGAGGTGCGAGATACCTTCGGATTTGCTGTTACTTTTGCTTCAACCGAAGGAGATATCATTGCATAAACATTGCATGTCGGAGGTCCGCGCTGTCTTCTTGGATCGGCTATGGAACCTATCCCTGGCGCGCGGAGCGCGCCGGGGGCGGCGCTGGAGGCGCCGCAAAAGGGCTCCAGCGCCAATACGAGAAATCCGCGCGGACCTCCGAACGTCATTACTTGTTCCCCGACTCAAGGCCCGCTTCCTTCCTTAGGAAAAGAAAGAACGCCATAAACAGAAAATGTTGGCGCTCCGCGCGGATTTCTTGGATCTGCGCTGGACCCTCCTCCCTGGCGCGCGGAGCGCGCCAGGGGCGGGGCCGGAGGCGCCGCCAGGGGCCTCAGCGCAGATCCAAGAAATCTTCGCGGAGTGCCAGAAGTTTATGTTTATGCCGTTTTTTCGTCTTCGATTCCTGGCGACGACCGCTCGAAACCTGGAGTACCTTTCCCCGCGCGGGCTTGCGGCTCGGGAGCAGCCGGGACCCCAGAGGATGCAGCTCACAGTTCGCCGCCGCGCGCAGTGGCGCTGCCGCCGCCTCTTCGTCTCCGTCTCCTACGGCGCCTCCGAGGCTGCGGTCTGGACAGCACGATGTCGTCCTCGTCCTCGTCGTCCACCTGGTCGTACAGCTCAGTCTTGCGCTGCTCGGCGTAGAAGGCCCGCGTCCACTCCACAAAGCGCGGCCCGTCGGAGCCGAGCATCTGCTCGCACTTGAAGTAGATCTGCTTGAGTTCCCCTTTGTATTTCTTCTCGTCCAGCATGACTCGGTTATAAAAGCGGGCGACAGAGCGCAGCGCCTTCGAGAGGTCCGTCGGCGCGAAGCGGAGAACATCCTGCGCCTTCTGTATGCTCACAACGCGCCGCTGGTGGTCTGGGAAGAGCACCACGGACTTGTTGCTCTCCACCTCCATGGTCTCGACGTACGGCAGGCCAATCGGCTCAGCCAGCAGATTGTAGAAGTCGCGCTGGGTAGGCGTCAACTCGCATGCGAGGTTGAAGGCTTCGCCTTCGACATGCTCTGGGCAGCACGTCTCGTTGCGCGCCTTGGTAATCGCGAGTACCACAGCCTGCGCCACGTCCGGGGTGTAGGTCAAGCTGAAGGGCGTCTGCAGCAAGCTCTGGTCCAGGTGCAGCGGCAGCGTCAGCGCAAGGTGCGCTCGAATCCACAGATGAAGCAGCCAATACCGGATCTTGTTCTCCTTCGGCCCGATGGGGTTCGCGGTCCGAAAATCGGCTACGCGTAATGAGGAGTGACCCACCCCGGGCAACAGCAATGACCTTCGGTGCGCGGCATTCGAAGGGGCCGCGGGGTGGGGGGGCAAATGCTGGGGGGGCCCCTGAGGGCCCGCACGAAAGATCACTCCGGCGAAGGGCCACCCTCACGCGTCACCGAGAAGCACCACAAACGGGAACCCGCCGGCGTTGTACTGCTTCATCAGCTCCGTCTCACAGTCCAGGTCCCCGTCGCCGCGCGCATCTATCCCCCGCGCCTGCTCGCGGGCCAGCGGCGACACCTCGCGGCCGGGCCTCACGGCGTCCGACTCCAGCAGGGGCCCGTCGTGGTCGGGGGCCCTGGACACCCGGTACACGAGGTGGGAGGAGACGAAGACGTACACTCCCACGCGCCCGCTCAGCAGCCCCGCCACCTGCCGCACCTCCTGGTGGTTCCTCGATGAGAAGTCCACCACGGCGTCGAAGAAGCCGGCGTCGTGGAACTGGTTGCAGGCCGCAAGCCCGGACGACTTCTCCAGCGCGGCCCCTTTCTTGCTGGGCGGCGCGCACGACAAGGGGTGGGGCGAGGGGGGCTGCCTGCGAAGATGGAAAGGGAATTTTATTGAACGCGATCAGATGCTCCTGAGGCTGCTTTCTAGGGGGCCTGAGGTCATCTAAGAAGCGACCTGCCTCCGTAGAGCCATAGAGTACCCACCCTCCTCGCCCCCCACCCTGGTGCGTGCCGCCAACTTGTTCACAGTGAGGGTCCGGTTGCACCTCCAGTGGTTCACCCGAGGCAGCAGCTCCTCGCGGCCCTTCCAGTAGAACTGACCGCGGCTCACCACGGTCACGTTGTGCCCGTCGTGCAGCAACCGTTCGGTGGTGGGGCGCCCTCTGAACCTCGGAAACCAAGAACTCTGCAATATCATCTGCCCTGGCAGGTTCCGTCCTGGCCCTGACCTTCCCGACCCTCTGCAAGATCCAATCGACACCGAACATCGGGGCAGCTGCTTGAGTCGGCATGTGCGTCGGATCGGGCCGCATCGGCACGGAGTCGCATCGGCCTTGCCAGAATGCACAACAGGACCACGCGAGCATCGGACCGCATCGGATGTCAAGGGCTCCCAACTTCGCGCTTCGCGCTGCGCGAATAACGTCGCGCTCTCGCGCCGCCTCCCAGGGGAGAAGAGGAGGGTGAGGAGGAGCCGGAGCCGAACCGCGAAGCACGAATAACTTCGCACCCTCGAGGGCGCCCTCGGATATCGAATCTCCTGGAAGTCGGGCCGGCACACATTTATTTCGAATCGGATCGGTCGGATCGAGATGGACACCGTGCAATGCACGGGCCCAGGGGCCAGGATAGGCCTCTCGCCAGGACTGATGAGAGGCACACACGTTTGCCGATGTCTGGCGAGACCAGCGTCCTGTGCGGCCATATTGATGGGCCTGTTTTCCACCACCACCACGATAAGTTGGAGGGGAAGGGGGTCCTCGTCCTCCTCCCCCACCTCCTCCTCCTCGTCCTCCTCCTTCCCCCATCCAACTTATAGTGGTGGTGGTGGGAAACAGGCCCAGCACATATCGCGCGTCAGTGGCGGGGAGTAGCAGGGAGAGGGGAGGGCGCGTGACATGTGGAGGGGGGGTACACAACACAAGCACTCTCTGGGGTTCCAGGAATCACTGATATCGCTACTCCACAGACCATTCTTGCTGTGCGCTCTGAACAGGATGTTGAGGCGCATGCAGTGGTGGCAACGAAGGAAAAAATCACTACTGAGTGAACACACACTTCCGGAGTTGCGCGCGGATCTCGCGCTGGATCTCCTGCACCCCTGGCGCACGGAGCGCGCCAGGGGCGGGGCCAGGGGCGGCGCCGCCAGGGGGGTCGAGCGCCGATCTAAGAACTTCGCGCGGAGCTGAGCTCCGAAAGTTTCTGGCTATACCGGGCTTCCTTCTCGACTGGGGGTCAACGACAAGGAGTACCAGCGCAGGGGAGTAAACATCGAGCCGGAATCGGCAATGCACCGCCGATAGGCCCCGGACAGCGAATCCGCACGTTCCTGGGCGGGGTGGGCAATCGTGCCCCTATCGGCGATCAGTGAGCGCTTGGGGGTCGATAAGTTCCCCTCGTATCCCCCCCGAACGTTGCCCCTGATTGCTGATCGACGGCGAGTGAAAGGCAGTGGTACCCGTAATTACCTCCTCCTCCTCCTCCTCCTCCTCCTCCTCCATTCTTTAACCAACCTTAGGATTCCCTGTGGTGTTCGTCTTCCTCCTCCTCGTCCTCCTCGTCCTCCTCGTCCTCGTCCTCGTCCTCGTCCTCGTCCTCCTCCTCCTCCTCCTCCTCCTCCTCCTCCTCCTGTGAGGGCAGCACAACCCACCCTCACCCCAGCCAGGAGCCGCACTCCCGACCTGGTGAATCCGGGAATCCTGGCCGGGAGCAAAGGGTTTGCTGGCCTCCAGGAGCCCCCCAAACCGCTCCCACCCACAGCCAGCAGCCCCAGCCCGACTACGCCGCCTCGGGGGACGGCGGAACGCCTCGGAGGGGGCGGCCGATGCTGCTGGATGGGGCGAGCGGGCATCAGACCCAGACCTCCAACGTCTCGAGAAACTCGAGACGAAGGTTTTTCTCAATTTTCAGCCCCTGGGTGACCTCGCCAGGCCCCGGGACGGTCAAAAAACGACTCGGGATGATGGAGATACTGGCTGGGGTTGGGGGTGGGTTGTGCTGTCCCCACTCTGACCCCCTGCGGGCAGGATTTGTTTCCATATCCGCTGCAGCCTGGAGTTTCGGGCTCCCTTCCCCAGAAACCCGAGGCGCACTGAACTTGGATAACAAATCTTACCCCCAGAGGCTCGATTTTTATCAATATCCAGTGCGCCTCGGCTTTGCGGCGCCCTTTCCAAGAAAATTCAAGATGCAGTGGATCCGGATACAGTAGGGGCTCGACCACAAGAAACCATTCACAAAAAACCCAATCCTGAGACCCCAGGACATCCATCGATTTGTTGGTGCGGGAACGCCACGCCTTACATTGCAGAACCATCGAAACCCAGGGCACCCTGGAGGCAAGCAGGGTGCTTCTTGGCAGGGGCCCCCACTGTAGCAATCGCGCCCGCAACTCTGACCCTCGGTGAACCCCGTGCCGCCGAGCACCAGCACGGACCTAGAGGCCTCCCAGATGGGGTCCGAGTAGAAAAGATCGGAGGGTCGCGCCGCATCGCCAATGCATCGGCGATGCATCGCCAACGTCAGCGACGCATTGGCGACGTCGGCGTGAAGCAAATCGGGCTCCGCATCCAGCCGCACCGCCGATGCACCGGCGATGCGGCACGATCCTCCGACACCGTCTGCTCGGACCCCGTCTGGGAGGCCTAGAGTGGGACGCACAAGGACATACTAATCCGAACAGCCATAGCTGGGGGAGCTGTGGTCCTTACCCCTCTGGGGGAGCCCATCGCATCGACGATCTCTCGAGAGGGGTGTCGAAATCGAGGGGTCCCCCAGGGGGGTAAGGACCACAGCTCCCCCAATTGTGGCTCCCCTCCTAATACTAGATGTCCTCCTCGGAGGCGCGCGTCCGACCCGAACATATCGTATACCCATCTTGTAGCACATCGTTTCCCGACCGGTGTGGCCAGAGAGCGCCCGCCACGACGCACACACCACACGATCTCTCGGTGCGCGCGCCGCCCCTGGGGGGCGACGCACATATAATACAAACATGTTGGTTGAGCAGGGGCCGACCGTCCCGGCATTCCTATAGCCCTACCACGACATGTTCTGAGAACCCAAAAATATTCTAAGAACACAAACAATGTTCTTAGAGCATAAACCCGATGTGTTAAAACAAGACAATCTCAGCCAAACATGTTCTAAGAACATTTAGTGCAAACCACAAACGGTTCTTAGAACATTGTTTGGTGGGACTACAAGCGAGCCGGGACGCTTCGCCACTGCTTGAGTTGGGGTGACGCCGATCGAGGACCAGCCCGACGCCTGCCGCGGCAGCCACGCCAGCGCCGCGGCGGCTGGCAGCAACCCCCGGCGGCGGCCGCGGCGCCGCGGCGCGCCGGCGGCGCCGCGGCCCCGCGGCGGGGGTGGGTGGGGGGGGGGGGGGGGGGTGGGGGGGGGGTTGGGGGCGGGGTGGCGCTGGGGCGGGGGGGGTGGGTGGGGGGGTGGGGGGGGGGGGGGGGGGGGGGCGTGTTTTTTTTTTTTTTTTTTTTTTTTTTTTTTTTTTTTGGGGGGGGTGGGGTGGGGGGAGGGGGGGGCGGTGCGGGGGGGGGGGCGGGGGGGGGGGGGGGCGGGGGTGGGGGGGGGGGTGGCGGGGGGGGGGGCGGGGGGGGGGGGGGGCCGGGGGGGCCGCGGCGCCGCGGCGCGCCGGCGGCCCCGCCTCGGCCCACGCCCCCTCCGGGCGAGGCGGCCCGCCGCGGCGAGGAGGCCGCGGCGCCCGCGCGGGCGCCGCGCGCGCACATCGCTGGGCGCGGCCGCCGCGTCCGGGCGCACCGTGAGGGCCGCACGAAGCAAGCGAGCGACAGGGCTGGCCCTCGCTGGGACGTCCGTGTGCCCCCTGCATTTTGAGGTCGGGCGCGTGCCTCGACAGGAGGACCATACTCCAAAAGAGTCGAAAAAGCACAACGTCTAGGGACGATTGTTCTACAAATTTTGGCTATTTGGGGGGTATGTTTCGACCATGTTCTATGTATCGTCCAAAATCCGCGTGTACGGGGCACATGCCCGACCTAACCCTTGCATGTTTAGGTGCCGTGCGCTCTTTGCTTCGCAGGATGATCCAAAATATTCCTTGCCGACAAACACGCAAACGTCCGAGCGATGCCAAGATAACGAACGGGGTCTTACGCGAGATGGCATCGCGACCTTGCGCGGAGGCTTACGCGTGCCGCTAGCGCTGCATGCTACATTGGAACCGAGGGCGCTTACGCGCGACCTTCCGCGGAAAGCTTACGCTCGAATGTCGGCGCAGAGGACCCCGTTATTAGTCGTCGCTCACATGGCTACGGTTGGCCACGTCAAGAGCCAAAAGAAAACGACGCCTCTGCCATCGGCCCAACAAACCAGGGGGGTACTCCTGGTGGCTTGGCCCCCTGCCGTGCTCGACGCATCTCCAGTCCCGGTCTCGGGGAGGCATCGTGGACCTCCTCGGTGGACGTGGTCCCCCTGATGGTGGCGGTATCGCTTCTCTGTCCTCCGACATCAGACCCACGGTATATTCCCTGCGAGCGCGTCCACCACTTGATCCTCGTCGGCTCAATCATCAAAGTCGCAAGCTCCAGCCTGCAACGGAACTGCCAAACGCTCTCCCTTTGTCCCCCCCTCTCCTACCCCTGCTAGAGGCGCTGGCTCCGGCAACTTGTTGCTTGTGCTTTCTGCCCACGCGTCCTTCATGGATGCGCTTCGAGAATGGTGGCTCTTACGCTAGTTGCACCCTATGTATAAGTATCGCAAGTAACATAGCTACTTACATGAGCTACTTATGGGTACTTACTAAGATACTTATAAGTAACTTAAGTTGATGTTCTTAAGTTACTTAAGCTAACACTATAAGATACTTATAAGTTACTTAGGGAAATGAAGCGATCGCGATCGCTTGGGAGGAGGAGGAGGAGGAGAGCGATGTCGATCGCTGTGAGGGGGGGGAGGGGGGAGGAGAGTGATGAGCGCGGCGGGGCGCGCGGCCTCCTCAGCGCGCGCGGCCGCGTCCTCAGTGTACGCGCGGCCTCCTCACCGCGCAGGGGGCTCACCCTCAGGGGCCGCCTCGCCGCCCTGCCCGTCGCGGAAGGCGGTCAAGCAGATCGCCTCCGCCTCGCTCAACGCCTGCAGCTCGGCCTGCTGTTGGAGCCGCCTGAGGGCGCTGGAGTCGTTCCACCCATCCCCGCCCAGGGACGCGAGCAGCTCCACCAGCTCATC